GAAGAATCATCAGTTGGGTAAAGAAAGGGAATCAAGGGAAAAAAGAAAGAGTGGGAAAAGAGAGGTACTGGGGAATTCAATTATGCTTTGTATACGTACCAATGTATCACAGTGAATCTCACTTTTATGAAATTATGTACCATCTTTTTAAAAAGGAGGGAAACCAGTAGAGTTGAGAAAAGGCATTGAGGAGGAGAGAACAGGAGAGAAAAAGGGAAAGCACTAGGAAATGGTTTTGATCCAATTATGTTATGTGCATGTACGAATATGTCACAATGAATCCCACTATTATGTACAATTGTAGTGCACCAACAAAAACATTTAAAAGAAGGGTTGAGAAGAGACAATCATGGAAAGTTCTGTGGCTCAGTCAATGATCAGAGGCACTGGAGTGAATGTCCTGAGGCTGGGCATTGCTACCCTGCAGGTTGGATTGGGCAACTGTTCAATTGTATGGTTTATGTACAAAGATGCCTGTAAAATGATGTGTAGAAGCATGTGGTGAATCTAGTGGGGCTTTTGCCTAGTATTTTCAAATTTCCAACAGACACAAATGTTCAAGATTTAGGAAGGAAAAAATAAGAATTCCTGGAAACTCTTAGGAATTCTCGAAATTACAAGTTATTCCATTTTTTCCTAATATATTACTTACATGTTTTTAGCTAATCATGAGTGACCATAATAATAGTGAATTATTTCCATAATAATAAATAGTGAAACATTTTTAGTGGTAGATGCCAAAAATTTTAAGTGGTTTTATTTAAATATATATATATATATATATATATATATATATATAAAATAAAACAGAATTTATTATTATTATTATGAAGCAGTATAATGTATTAATCAGCTTCTGTTACTATAAGAAATACCTGAGATAATCAACTTATAAAGAGAAAAGGTTATTCTGGCTCACAGTTTCAATGGCTTCAGTCCATGGTTAGTTGGCCCCATTCTTTTGAGCCTGGGGCAGTGCATCATGGGCAGGAGCATGTAGTAGAACAAAACCACTCACCTCATGGCTGCAGAGCAAGAGAGAGAAAAAGAGACCAGGGCCTCACAATTCTCTTTGAGGTCGTGCTCACTGGCAACCTCCTGACAGAATCTACCTCTTAAGCGTTTTACCATTTCCCTATAGCTCCTAGCTGGGGACTCAGCCTTTTAAAACATGGCCCCTTGGGGAACATTCCAGATGCAAAGCATAGAATCATGTGACACAATTTCATATTATAATAATATGCAAAAAWGACCTCCACCTAATAAAGGTATTTGATAATAGAAAACACTAAAGAAGGGGAGAATTAACACAAAATAAATTCCATGTAAAAACCATCTTAAAAATTGAAAGATGATAAATATATTAATATTTATAAAATGTTATTCTTTAAATAAAATTATGAAACATTAATCCTCCCATTCAATAGTCTTGATTTTTGTTTCATAATAGTCTATAGACTAAAAAAAAAAGATATTTCAAGCTGGGGTTATCTGGGGTTATTGCTCAGTGATAAAGCACTTACCTAGCATGTACCAGGCCCTAGATTTGATCCCCAGCACTCCCCCAACACGCACACACACACCCACAAAAAAAAATACATATATATACACACATATGTATCAAGTGATCATTACTTGATGCTTACATCCTTTTTTATATATAAAAAAACATTTTAATGTTTTATTTTAATTAATAAATAGTTGTATGTATTAAACATTCATGAGGTACAATTCGATGTTTTCTTAATTCTATATTGTGGAATAATTAGATCAAGCAATTAACAAATATACCACCTCATATACTTGTCATTTTCGTAGTAAAAATATTTAAAATCTATTTTTTTAGCAATTTTGAAATATACAAAGGCTGGGCACAGTGGTATATGCCTGTAATCCCAGCAATTTAGGGGGCTGAAGCAGGAGGATCTCAAGTTCAAACCCAGCCTCGGCAATTTATCCAGACCCTGAAAAGGGCTGGGATGTAKCTCAATGGTGAAGTATCTCTGAGTTCAATTCCCAATACCAAAAACAAAACAACAAATAAAAAGGAAAATGAAACCATTATTATGTAGCATAGTTACCATTCTGTTTAATAGAATATTAAAGCTCCTATCCAACTGAAAATCTGTACCCTCTAATCAAGGTCTTCCCTTTTCCCACCCACCCCCTCACCTGGCCTCTGTAATCACCATCCTACTCTCTACTTTCATGAGTTCAATTATTTTAGATTCCAACATGAGACCATGCCATCTTTGTCCTTCTGTGTCTGACTTATTTCATTTAGCATAATATCCTCCAGGTTCATCCATGTTGTCACATGACAGCATTTCCTCCTTTATAAAGACTGAATGGTATTCATTCCACTGTCTGTGTTTACATTTTCTTTAGGTTGCCTCCACATGTAGGTATTATGAACAGTACTGTAGTGAATGTGAGAGTGCAGATATTTCTTMAACATAACTGATTTCATTTCCTTTGGATAAATACCCAATAGTGGAATTACCATACCATAATTCTATTTTTAGTTTTCATATTTTTTCATAGTAACTATATTAATGCACATGCTCACTAACAGTGCACAGGGGGTATCTTCTCTCTACACCCTCAGCAGCAATTATTATATTTCAACTTTTTAAATTATAGCCCTTCTAACAGGTGGGAGGGAATATCTTATTGTGGTTTTAATGTTCATCACCCCTGATGATTAGTAATGATAAGCATTTTTTCATATATCTATTGACTATTCCTATGCCTTCTTTTGAGAAATATCTATATAGGTCTACCCATTTTTAAATTGGATTCTTGAAATCATATTCAAGAAATCTTGGCCCAGACCATTTTCTGGACCACTTCTACTATCTTTTCTAATAGTTTTACAGTTTCAAGACTTACATTTAAATATTTAATCCATTTTAGTTGATTTTTGTATATAAGATAGAGTTTAATTTCATTCTTCTACATGTGCATGTCCAGTTTTCCCCACACCAGTTATGAAAGAGACTATCTTTTCTCTATTGTGTGTTTTTAACATCTTTATCAAAAATCAGTTGACCAATATGCTCAGGTTTATTTCTGGGCTCTCTTTCCTGTTCCATTGGTCAGTGTGTCTGTTTCTATGCTAATATCTTGGTATTTTGATTACTATAGCTTTATAATAGATTTTGAAGTCTGTCATAAACATGAAAATATTCTATCTGTTTGCTTTGATTTTGATTGAGCCATTGAAATCTGCATTGCTTTTGCTAATTTATGTTACTCATTTCTTAGTAGAGTATACCACAACATACACATCTTCTCTTTGTATTTCTTCTGTTAAATTACTCAGAACAAAATATGTAATACATACACATGTATCAGTACATAGACATATATAAAACATGCAAGTATTCAAACACTGAAAAATGACAGCCAACGTTACTGGGTATGTTCAAACAAAGTGACATTCAGACCTCCAAGCAAGATTAATAAGGCTGCATAGAATCACAGGTTGAAATTGGAAACATAGGTTCCAATGTCACATGTGAGGACTTATTTTGCTTCTAAAATTTCTTATTCTTGGAACACCACTTATAGGATTTATATTAAATACACTATGTATAGAGGCTTACTAATACTCATTTTCACAGGGAAGACTCACATTAGCAGCAGACACACATTTGGAGCATGAGAATAGCCACCAGCAACAGTGGCTGATTAGATTATGACACCTTTCCTCACACTTACTCCTGCCCCAGTGTCTGAAAATGCTTACCATCCATCAACTTTGTCTCCACCATTAGCATTTTCTATTCTTGTTTTCCACGGGGTCTGTGGATTTCTTAGAGCTAGTTATGTCCTTATAATAATTATTAAACTTGAATTCTCAAAGGAGAATCAGAATAATTTTTTACCATTTTCCCAATTTCCTTACTAATTTTTCTTGGGATTCAAGATTCAGGAAAAACAGTGTTTTCTGAGAAATGCTGGGAATTCCAGTTAAAGCCAAGTCCCTCAGAGGGAAGGAATGTATTGTTTTTGTGGCAGAAGCTTCTTCTGTTCTCTTATGTATGCCTATAATACTGCGTCCATGCAAAGGGTCTTTGTCAATTTCATAAAAATGTACACAAGGCTATTTTATATGCCACCTTGAAATCACCTCAAAGCCTGGAAAAGTATCCTTTTGCAGCCTAACAGGCACATAAATACCTTTAAGTATGCAAAGCTTCTGGAAAATGCCTTTGGCTGATTTGACCAAAGATGTGTAAAAGCAGAAAAAAACATGAGGTGAGTTGAAATGTTTTTTTTTCCACGAGTACTTCTGGACGCCAGCTTTAGACGAGGCCTAGATAGAATCAATATCTGCTATTCAAAGTCAGAAATGAATACTAATCTAGTTTTGTCAAGCCACTACCATCCAYTCAAGAACTTAATTTATATTACGTGGGCCAGCTGTCATGTAAAATATTTTCATATATCACCTGACTTAAGAGAGAAATGGAAGTAGGCCAATACCTATTTTTATCACCTACAATGTATCAGACAGCATGATCCATATTTCAAATGTGTTTTCAATTCTACAATACAGGTTTCATTCCCTTAATTCCATGGTTTAAGAAAATTAAGACTCAAAATCATAACTTTTCAACAGCCACCCTTCTAATCACTGAAACAGCTTAAAATTTAAACTCAATCCAGCTTTGAAAATCCGTGCTCTTTCTATCCCCCTCACACTGCAAATCATAAAATGGCGGCAGATCACAATCTTGTATGTGCCATGCCTATCCCTTACTCCTCAACCAGGAGAGAAAACTGGCACCAGGCAACCTGACTGCTCCCTAAGGACTGATCTTGAAACCTCGGGGTAATAAGACCTTCTCCTATGCACACTTAAATAACAACATGGGTAGTTTCTTATTTGAAAAAAACATAAAATAAACTTAGATGCAGATCATATATTTTGGTGACAGTATTTAAAATGAACTTTGTAAACACAGTACAAAAAAAAAAAAAGTATTTCTTACCTTTAAATATTTCACCAGCTTCTGAATTTGCCAATATTCCGAAGGCAAATCTGCATTTGCTTCCTGACGATGATCAGGTTGTCCTTCATCTTCTTCACTTTCCGAGGAGCTCTCACTAATAGTTTCTTCAATCTTATCGACAGTCTTACTAAGAACAACAAAAAATCCATACATATAAGCCAGAACATAAACTTGGTTAAAATGATAACATTTTAGGAACATGCATATAAGTAACAGATGTACCAATATCTTCTGTGATTTCTTAGAAAGGAGGAAGGTTTCTCCACTCAAATTTGAAAAGGTCAACACCAGTGAATCATGTTGTTATGTATATATAACAAACTACCTACAGCRATCATGCAAAAAAGCTATACAAAGAGATGCACCCAAAAATATTACAGGCAATCCTGTGAATGATTGTTCATAGAAACTTTATTTTTAATAGYTCAAAACTAAAAACAACAAAAATATCCTTCAACAGGTGAATTATTACAATTTYAAAGTCAACCTCCGCAACTTAGCAAGGCCATAAGTAACTTAGGGACCTTATCTCAAAAAAAGGCTGGGAATATGGCTTAGTGGTTATGCACCCTGGGTTTAATCCCTAGTACCTTCCCCCGCAAAAAAAAAAAAAGCCTTTAATTATCATGTTAACTAGCCCAGTATGTGAGGGTGGCTTTAAAGAGCTGGTCTTGCCATCAGAAACATACTGAAGCTGTACTTTTCCATGTGAAAGAGATGGTCTTGTCTTTTCAAGTCTTCCATGTTTTTCCTCTTGGCTGTCTTTTGCTGAACTTTTATGTCTGAAAAAAAAAAGAGCTTTATTACTTTATGCTAACAAATAAGAAATAAAAGTTGCAAGAATCATATAGCAATGATCCATCATTTTCACGCACCAAATGATGGGTGTTCCTGAGACAGAGAATGATTTCCAACCTCACCTGACGTCCCGTTTGCTTTTCAAACAGAGCCATTTTATATACTGAAGAAACTTTCGGTCCAGTACTTCTTTATACTATAACGGATCTTCACACTAGGTTGCTATCATTGTGTAAATCCTCCAACCCTTGCCTTTTATAGGTACTTACTGCTCTCAATTAGAGTTGCCTGTGGATTCTTATTTTTCTCCTCCTAATGCTATAACAGAGACTGCACCTGGTTTTCCGGGTATTCCCAAGTTTAGCACACTCCTTAACACAAACTCTGTTTCTCACTAAATACTTCAGTAAATACATAACTGAAAGAATAAGCACATGATAAAAGTAGCAATGGAAAACTCACTTTCCAGTTAACAGAATTACCTATACATTTTTTTCATTCTCAAACTTACTCTTTCAAGTGGAAACACAAATTCAACAAAATTGATGAGAATCAGATGAACAAATATATCTCCTCTTTCCATAGGGCTTATCCTTCCCAATAGTTATGGATTTTCTTCCAAAAAGAATCACCCTGTGGTTGTAAGGATCCCTACCAGTCGGGGTACTAGTGTGACCAACCAGGAGCCAGTTCTTAATCATGTGACAACATGGAACATTAAATATAGACTAACATTTGTAAGCTATTGGTTAAATTTAAAATGTGCTTGCTATAGTTTGGACCTTACATGTTCTCCAAAGTCTCATGTGTTTAAAAGATTGGTCCCTAAGGCATCCTATTGGAAGGTTGTAGAATCTTGAAGAGGTGGGGCCTAATGGGAGGTCTGTAGGTCACTGGGAACACATCCTCATAGTGGATTATAAAAATTCAGTCACCTTCTCTTTCTCTCTTTTGCTTCCTGGCCATGAAGTAAGTGATTTTTGTTCTACAACTTGCTCCCCTCATCAATGACATCTGACACCTCCACTTGAGGCCTAAAAGCTTTTGTTTTACTGATCATGAACTGAAACCTCTAAAATCATGAGTCAAAACAAACTTTTCTCTTCCTAGTTATTATATCAGGCATTTTGTTAAAGTGAGAGAAACCTGACTGACACAGTGCTTTTGACTGTCTCAGCATTTAAGAAGCACTAGCTCTTTGGCACCTATTTATAAGAGGTCCCAAATGAAACTAATTTTATTTATTTCATTAATTCATCAATACAGTGTCAACTTTACATAGGCCTGTTAATATTTTTGAGACTCTAGTCTTTTTATAAGATGAGAATTATTTATAGAAAAGACCTTAGTCATCCTGAAGGTTTCTCTACTTAAACCCCATATTAGTTTAATCATTTCGAAATTTCCTAACACATATGTATTCACTATGTTTATATTTTCTATGTTATTTCTCCACATATTTTATCATCCTTTTCATGGTGATTTGTCCCAACTCACTATCTACATGAACACGGACTATGTTCTTCCCATCCATTCACAATGCTCCAACCATGAACACTGTAGCTATCAAATCTTTGCACTCGGAATAGAGAGAGGAGCAGAAAGGAATCAACTTGTATCATAGAAGGATGTAAAAGTATCTCTTTGTATTTTTGTACCAAGAAACAAAGTTCTGAAGAAACTAGATAAATAAGTGGTGACTAAAGAAGTATGAGAAAACTCATCATACAAATGTCTACATACATTTTAAAATCAACTTTGGTTCTCCAATTTAAGCTTGGCTCCAATCTCTTGGCCATATGAGTCTTCACAAAACTGATTTCATTCTTCTTTGGTCTGTCTGAACTAGTGATAACTTTGCCAGAGACAGCTTCTTTTTCCTTGATCTGTTTTTCCTCAATAGGATTTTTTTGTTTTTCATTGAATGTAAATTCCTTTATAAAAAAATTAAAAATAACTTTTACAATTACATCACTTCTGAAATACTTAGCACCATCTGAAGATTAACCCTGGTGATAAATCCTAGAAAGGAATTTTCAGATGCAAATTCACAACCAAGGCCCCTATTGGAGCTAGGTAGACAGTGATGTGTAGTTTTTAAACTTGCACTTCTGCTGCAGCACATACAGATACAATAGCAGGATTGGATCAACATATTCCTCCCATCTCTAGAAAAAAATAAATTCAATCCTTATATGATTGGCATGTGTCATATGTGAATTGCTTAAACCAAGAGTGAAGAGAATATCTTTATTTTTTCAGTACTAGGAATTGAACCCAAGGGGTGCTCTACCACTGAGCTACATTTAAAACCCTCTTTATTTTTTAATTGGAGTTGAGGTTGGCCTTGAACTTGAGATCCTTTTGCCTCAGCTTCTGGAGTAGCTGAAACTAGAGTCACCACCATGCCCAGCTCAAAGGAAGCATCATACAGAAGAAAAGGCATAAGAATTTTAAGAGAATTCTCATGAGAAATGATGAAAGTCAAAAGACAGTGATATCCTCAAAGTACTAGAAATAAAAGAGAAACAACAACAACAACAAAACTGTCAACCCTAAAGATTCTACTTTGAGTCAAAAAGATTTTTTTTTTTTGAAAAATGAAATCAAAATAAAGACTTTCACGGAAAAACAAAAACAGAAAATTCTGAAGACTTGTGCTACAAATCTACACATTTCTTTGTAGAGACCCATGTTTTCATCAAATCAGACAGAAACAAAGAAATGAAAAGTTTCAGAAACAGCAAAAAGACATACAAAAGGCTTGTGTGTAATTTTTAATCATTATTAATTGACTATTAAAGTCAAAATAACAATGTTTTGAGAGGTTTACAGCAGATTAAAAAAATGTACAACAATAACATAGAGGATGAGGGAAGCTTTCAAGGAACACTACTCTAAGTTTCTTAAACTATTTTAAATCATATAATATTACTTAAAAACAAACATGAAGGGGCTGGGGTTGTGGCTCAGCAGAAGAACGCTCGCCTCCCACATGTGAGGCCCTAGGTTCGATCCTCAGCACCACATAAAAATAAATAAATAAATAAATAAATAAATAAAGGTGTTGTGTCCAACTAAAAAAAATAAATAAATACTTAAAAGAACAAACAAACATGAAAATTAAAGATATATATTTTATAGACCCTAGGGCAGCTATTTAGAAACTTTCAAAAAGAAATATAACTGATAAGTGAATAGCATAAAGAAATGGAGTCATTTTCTGAAGCTAAACTAATTGAAAAGAGGCAGAAAAAAAGGAAAAGGAACAAGAACAGATGGGACAAAGAAAACAATTAACAAAAAAGGTAAATTTATATTCAACTGCATCAGCAGTTATATCAATTTAATCTGATTTGAAAACCTCAATGAAAACAGAAATCATCCAATTGAACAAAAAAGAAAACTCAACTATTTGTGTTCTGAATGAACTATATATAAAGGTATAAAATCATTAAACAAAAGGCTAGTGAAAATAGTTCCTGCAAACAGTAATCAAAAGGCAGACAGGACAGACTGCTGGAGGAGGAAGGCAGAAGTGAACCAGGCAGTGAGTGCCAATCTCTTCACATCACTGAGAGGAAGAAGCGAATAAATGCAGAATTGAGAGGTGGGTAACTACATTAATGCTCTARGACCTTATACTACTTAGTCTGAGACCTGGAAAGACTGGAAGATAGGTTACCAGGGTAGAAATCAAACTCAAGAGTACCCTAACCCAAACCTGTGGATTGGGGGCAGGGCATCAGAAAGAGAAAGCGAGAGGGGGTCACGGACATTCTCTTAAGCTTACTCACTTAAAAAAGATAAACTTTAAAGTGCAGACATTTCCTAATAGTGCAAACTACTTAAAACCAAATCTTGAAAAGAAATCTGAACAGGGCTCCTAACCATCTTGTGGAGTCCATAGCAGACCAGTTCGTCAGTCACCCTCTTAAATCAACATGGTGTCTTTCCACACCTAGACAGCCCAAATTAAACCAGAGGGGAGCCCCTGCAGTGGACTCTCAAAATAATCCAGCCAGAAGAAACTTCTAGAAGGCCCACTACTAACATAAATCTCAGAAACCCTCCTTCTCCCTCCTCCTTCTCCACAAATAAGGAAAACAGAGTGGGCTGGGCCAAGGGAAGTGCAGGTCCAGCTCCATACAGACTCAATGACCCAGGTATGGGGGTTTGGAAACCTCTGCATAGGCTCCCTTGACTCATGCCACAATGAAGCAGCTCTGGCCTGAACAAAGGAAAGTTGATTCACCAGGCACCACTAACTAGCACTGGGGTGAGTCCCCATGGGAAGCCTAGGGACAGTCCCCAGGATGAAACCACCATACCAGAAGGAAGCTGTCTGAAAATCCAGGGACATACAGACCCAGCAGGAAATTGCCAGAGGCTCTGCAGCAGAAAGGGCTGGATACCAGCCTTAATGGGGGACAGGGCACTGTTTGGATACTTGTAGGACCTTGCACCAGACTAATAAAGGTGAGGGAATCAATGCCTACTAATCATAACCTGGGGCAGTGGAAACTAGAGTCCAGATGAATTGCCAGAGACCCATCACTAAAGCACCTCAGAGAGAAGAAGCAGCAGGGAAAATACTACTATAMCACAGAACACCTGTGGAAAACCCTCAACCAGTGTTTCAGTTCACGAAGACAGCTATCAGGATCTTCAGTACCGAGAAAAGATTCCAGCAGAGGGGAACAGGTACACAAGTGACCCATACCAGTGACCCACAGCAAATATAGGGACACACTAGAGCCGGCATCCTGAACTTCTGCAGCATTAGAATCAGGCAACTCACAACACTGCTCCCTCTGAGACTAAAAACAACTCTAATATCAACTTTGGTCATATAAATAACTCCCTTGGTTTGAATGATAATTGTTAATCCAATAGCCAACATTATACCTCCAACCCATTTGGATATATTTCATCTTATTGTTTAAAGCATTAACTGGAATCAAGCTTCCTATCTTTGTTTTCCTAGCTCTAGTTTATATTTGTTTCTCATACCACCTACTTATCCTCTTGCACTATCCACTACTACCTCAAATAACACCAGTTCATAAATTAAGCTTTTATAGCCTCTCTCTGCCTCTCCCTCTCTCATTCACTCTATTTTTCTATTCTTCTTTATCCCTCCAACATTTGCACAAGTTTTCTTCCTCCTTTTAGCTTGCTTAAGGTTATAGTTAATTTATTAAATTTTTTGGCCTGTTCATAAAATTTATTACAGGTTTATATCTGAATTTGAGGAACCACAGAGAACAATTACAACCAATTTTGTTTTTAAAAGGTTCCGTAGTATGAGACTTGACTCAGAAGTGATTATAGTAAATAGGGCTCAGTGGTATCTCTTAAAGTGGAGCTAATATTGGGATAAGCAGAGGTCACACATTAAATTAAAATATCATAATCTCGATATCTACCCAACTGAGGGTCCTTAACTCATACTGTATTCCTTCACTTAAAAAAGAAGTTACAACTATTACTGATAGACATACAAACAATATGAAAAAGCAAGGGAACCACCCCAAACAACCCATAATACTTCAACAACAGACTTCACTGACA